ATCTTTTGTAATCTTTGAAAATAAAATGGTAGAATTACTTTTTGGAACATCTTAAAAATTAAATATTAAAGTTTTAATAACATGCTATAAATTAACTTTTAAAAAGTTTTTAGCAGAACATTAAAATCTGGATTTAAAATATATCTAGACTTGAATTTGGGTGGGTCTCTTGTAGTTTCATGGAATATTAATTTATACAGTGCTTGGTTATTTACAGGGTGTGTCATTCTGGCTCAATATCAAGCTTAAAAATTTCTTTCCTTGTTGTAAAATACAAAAAAAAAACTTTCTCTTTGAGGCTAAAATGTTTTCAGAAATTCTCTGCTGGACATAGCATTACTGTGTGTAGTATAAATTGTTAATGATAAAATATTTATATTTTAAAAACATTTGAACATGTTTGATAAGTTATCAATGGAAGAGTTTGGAATATTGAACCATGTTTTTGTTGTGACCACAAAATTTAATCTGATTCTACAGCTGTCTTAAGTGCACAAAATATAAGAATTGGACAGATTAGAGATATTGATTAATATCTTCTGAAAGCACTCTTTGGTAAAACATCAACAAATATAAAGAATCTTGCACATGGAACCCGATTAAAGAGACTCCTCCAATCATCACTAATTGATTGATCAACCTTTTTAACAAAATACTAACAGAAGCAACATAGTTCCTCTGAGACAAATTAATAATGATTCTTACTCTGTAATTGGAACGATTAGCCTTTTGCATATGGACAGAATGTTGATATTGGAGAGGAGATGGGCGCCACCAAGCTATTTGAAAGCTCACTGAAAGGATCATGAAGAAGAAGAATCTGTCTGTTTTTTCTGCCCTCAGGTCTCCCCTATGATTGAAGCAGTCAAGAGTTAGGAAAAAAAAAAAACATTTTTAGTTTAGGCTTCTTACATATTGACAGGGAAATGGTCACATGGTGGAGTCTCCACTTTCCCTCTGTGATTTTTCAAACCACCCATCTACATGGATTTTTGAAGATCTTCATTCTACTCTTGTTTATCTTACATAGGTATGTGGATGACACATTTTGGCTCTTCTATGCTGATGTGTACAGATTTCTGTTAGATCATATGATTTCAATTAGGCCATCTTTATAACTCATGAAGGAAAACAACAAACCTTCTTTTTACAATCTCTGGAAATAAGCCAAACAGTTTATTAACCATGAGTTTTGTATTATCTAATTCTTTCTTATTTTTCCACCATGGACCCCCCCGAAAAAAAAAAAAAAAAAAAGGCCCTCTCTCGTTTATATTGCACATCTTTAAAAAGGCCATAGTTTGGGCCAAATGAAGAGATGAAACAATGATCCAATCCAAATATGACAGATAATTTTACTTTTTTTTAAAACACCTTTGTGAATACCATGGATTTTGTATGACAATGAAGAATTATGTGTGCTTGCGTGTAGTATATATTTAGGCAGCAAAATTTTCTTTTAAACAAGTTGTATTAAATTCATCTGATCTGTCTATAGGGAAAAAATTGTATTTTTTTCAATTTTCTAATAAGATTTAAATCTTACTTATTATAAAACGCAGATTGTGTGTGTGTGTGTGTAACGTTTATATATTGGATCGGATTTCCTACATTTTTCAACTGATTTCAACAAAACTTCACAGGACTACATAAAATTACCTTGTGGTGGTTCTAACAGTGCCAAAAATGGGAAAAATATAATTGTTTTTGCACAAAATCAATTTGAAAACACGATTAAGAGACATCGTGAAAATGGAAGGGGGACAACTCACATCGGGTTGTTTGTGTGTGTGGGTTCCTTTAAATATGGGATCGGATTTCCTATATTTTTCAGCCGATAAAACAAAAATTTTCTTTTTTTTTTTTTTTTTTTTTTGGCAGGTAGTGTTTCTTATTCTCTTGCACACTTTTTTCTTTATTTTTAATATTCAGAATGCTTTAAAAATTCCATTTACAAGACAATTATTTATAATAAAATTCTATTCAATCGGGAGACTCATAACGATTGAAAACAATGTTTTTGTTTGAGTTTGGGTTTGACCAAAAAAAAAAATAAAAAAAAATAAAAATAATTAAGACATGCGTGTCCGTCAACCTTAAACAATAATCTAACGATCTCTACTGATTGTACGAATACAAACATCGGATAAATTTTTTATCTTTAGGGAAAGATAATGAAATCTAAACATACACAAGTCCTAACTAAAAATAATAACCGGAACGGGAAACTACTTTAAATACACATGGTGTCCAATTTTTTTACTGTATTCAATAAGTAAAAATCATAAATTGTAAAAAAGATTATTATTACAGAAAGGCTACTAAATGAATAAGATTTGTTAGATCATAATTAATAAACCCAAATAAAGTTAATATTTTTTGTATTAGAAACAACGAGTGGAAAATATGTTCAAATCAGAATTCTAATTATGAATCACCACAAGCAAAATAGGCAATTTTTTTTTACTGTATTCAATAAGTAAAAATCATAAATTGTAAAACTAAAAGATTACAGAAAGGCTACCTACATTTTTCAACCGATTTCAACAAAACTTCACATTTTTTTTTTGGCATGTAGTGTTCCTTATTGTCTTGCACACTTTATCTTTATTTTTACATTCAGAATGCTTTAAAAATTCCATTTACAAGACAATTGTTTATAATAAAATTCTATTCAATTGGTAGAAACTCATAACGATTGAAAACAATGTTTTTTTTGAGTTTGGGTTTAACCAATTCCTAAAAAAGAAGAACTAATTAAGACATGCGTGTCCGTCAACCTTAAACAATAATCTTTGTCAATTTTATTTTTCAGTCTTTATGATGGTGGATACTTGATCTATCTCTTACTGTTATATCCCCGGGCAATGCCGGGCTCTACTGCTAGTATTTAATATAACCTTTCAAAAATGGTAAAATATAGCCAACATTCCTTGCCTTCTATACTGACTTTTAGTTCCTAATAACAGAGAACGTCAGAAGTAACCAAACAAAACTTTGGACAGACAATTTAACCAAAACTTTCTCATTGAGTTGTGCAACAACTTATTTAAAAAAAAATTTTAAGAATACAAGAAAAACTCTAAACCTTGTTGATTTAATTCATATATATTTATATATATATATATATATATATATATATATATATATCTAACACTGCTTTTAAATAAATGCTTCCTGATTATTTCTAGGGAAATTACAATAAATACAGTGAAGAGATATGCACTGATCGATATTGGAAAGAGTGATAAGTTACTGGGCTCAAGAAATCTATTCCTATTTTAAGAGAAAGATTTTTATAAATTTCAACCAAAAGTATTAGTGGCTTCTCAATCAATGGATGCCGAATATTTCCTTAAGAAAACAGCTAATATTATCAGGTACTATTATTGATAATTTCAGGATGGTAGAGAAAATAAACTTTAAATGTATACTTCCTTTATCTGAAAGATGATGCATTTATCAGTATTTGATAAAGGAATTAATAATTTGTCTTAACATGTTATTGAATGTGTAAATAATTTCTTTAAAGGTTCTCTTGTAATTAGAGCAATTTTAATATTGTACATATTGAGATTATTAAAAATATGTGATTGTCTTTCTCTCTCCATTCATACAGGTTCTACCTTAAAGTATTTTGAAATTTTATAAATAGAAATTTGGGGGAAAAAATGTATGTCATTTTATATGGAAAAAGGTTGCAATACTTGAACATTATTTTGAATGATTAGATTATGTAAGATTGTAACATCAATTGCTATATAATGTAAATTACCTAGAAATAATAAACAGTTTAACATAATAAATATATTTCAACAATCATTTATGCTTTCAAGTATGAAACTTAATTTAGTTTGAAACTATTATGTAACAGTTTAAAAGCTTTAAATAGGAAACTGAAATATTTATAATACTTGTCCTAATATTTCAGTCAGGAAATTGTTTTTCTTTTGTAAAGACCTTTCTGCCTAAGAATCCATATTAATCTGATGGATATGTTTCTATATAAACTCTTTCATCTCTAGGATTTCTAGAGAGATGTTTTTATTTCATCTGGAGAAGTAATTCATCCTTTCTGTTTAGAGAGGTAGATGCAGTGTCATATCCAGTTGTGCTATGTTACCTCATGTTAATATTCTAGTTTGATTCCTTAAAACTCTTCAACCCATCTAATTTCTTGAAATTAATTAGCTTTCTTAATTGTTTTTCCCACCACATTTAATTCTAATAATTATGAAACACAATCAAGCCTTTTTCCCCTCCCTCCCTAGTTCTATACCATCAGACCAGGCTTTCTACATTGTCTCTGTTCATCAATTACTGTCAAGCTTCCTTAGGGCTCTATTTGCCCTAAATGAGTGCGTTGCCACCCACCTTGTCACATACACATTCTTCATAAATCTTCATACTTGATTATATACTTCCTTTCTTTCATGTGAATGAAGGCATCCCCATGATAATTTGAATTCCCTCATCCTCAAAGAAAAAAATTATTTTAATGATTATTTGTATTTTCTTACCTATTGAGAAGAAGCAATTTCTGTTCTGTTATTTACCCCCATAGCTGGGTCAGAGAGATGGATTCATACCTTTCTCAAGGGTATTTGCACATAAGTGAATGCTAATAAACTCAATTGGAATTTGAACTTTGCTCTTTGATTTCTCATTCTGAGCTGCTATTACACCACCCACATATCCTTAAAAAAAACAGTAAGGGAGCAAAAACTTTTCCATCAAATGAACTTGAGTTAATTTATTTTACATTTCTGATCCATATAGTTTTTCGTTGGGCATAAGATCTCAAAGAAAGTTTATTAATTTATTTTATGATTTGGATCATTCTTGTTCTAATACTTTTACATCTGAATTTAATGTTTAAAGGGGATTATTGCAATAGCCATATTTGCTTTTTTTTTTTTTTCTATTTTTTTTTAATTTTTTTTTTTTTTTCCATTTGACAATTATGAACTAATTTTATTACTGCCTTTTCTTTTTTCCAGATAAGCACCATTGAACGGCTGGTATTTGATTTTCTTGGTTACATGTGGGCACCAATAATGGGCAACTTTTTTCAAATAATTTGTGTGATAGTTGGAATATTTGGTGTTTGTCAATACAGACCATGTTTAATAGCAGTGGTAAGTTATATTTCTTAACTCTTCCAAATTATCTTTATTTACAGCTACTATTTTTGACCCTGTTTTGCCCAAATTGATTTGATGCAGACTTTGTATGACTCCTGCATTGCTAAAGCTTCTCAAAATGTGTGAGAAAAATTAGATTTAAAAGAGGAAATCTACCTTTATTATTGGACTTTCATTTTTAATGGGTTTATGATTCAGTATGTTTGTATCTTGTCTAAGAAAATTGAAATAGTTCTAAGTATCCCTCCTTGAGTCATCCTGAAACAAACATTTATGTTGAATGGTTAGATTCAGTAATCATAACACCTTTCAGTTACAATCCAAATGAAATTGGCACAATTAGTAGTTGTAACTCCTGCTAAAGGTTGCAATGTCTCATTGTTAGACAGAGTATCGCCTTGCCATTGACAGTGACATTCCTCTACTAAGTGGCTGTAAGATGTCATCTGAGGAAACAAAATTGCATGCACCACCTTTTTTTTTTTTTTTTTTTTTTTTTTTTTTAACCACCTTCCCACATTCCATTACTGCTTGGTTTACTCAATGAATTCTTTATCTAAATACTTACTAGGTTTTGTTCTGCTTAACTTTGATGCTCAAACAAGAACTGGTGCTTTCAGCATGATTTGACTGTAAACTATTAGTATTAATAGACAGTAAATTTATAACTTTTCAGCCTATTTAGTGTTGACTTAATAAAAGAGGAATAATTTTTATAGACAAAGATTTATATAAACCAATAATGAATAACAATCTTACTTCATATTACTTGAAATTCCTTTTTTACTCTGAACTGACACTGTTCTTTTAAATAGATGAAAACCTTTTGAATTATAGAAATATCCAACTGATTAATTTAAAATTGAATGTTTTCATGCTTTTTGTTTTTGATATTAGGTAGTGTTTAACAGAATGCAGCAAAGATGCATATTGGCCAAGCTACATAAATGCATTCTAATATCAGCATATGAATATATAACTGCCTGTCATTAGTTTTTTTTAAGTCTTCATTGTTTTATTAATCTAAAACTTTACATTATTTTCCTTTTGACCTTTTCTTTTATGATCTTAACTCTATGAATATGACCCTTTGTAATGAGTTATCAGCAAATAACCCTTATTATTCACATTTTGGCCTGATGTCACAAATACCATACCTGAGTATTTACCCATGACCAATAATGCAGTTTATTGCACAAAACTGTCTAGGTACATAACAAAACAAATTGTTGCCTTATGACATCGAAGGTTAATGAAGTTTTCCCCATGAAAGAGAAAGTAAGAGATTGTGTGACAAAAGAATGTTTTCTGTGACTAGTTGAATAAGCCACCCTTGTTTGTATTATACTAAAGTATTTGCAGTTATTTGACCAATTGGTTTAAAAAAATATTCTATTTAAGAGCTTGGTAGAAAAAGTTTTACTTCATCAGATATAATGAAATGGAATCATCTAAACATGTTTGCACTATTTTACCTACTCTTTACCCAAGTCACTCTCAGAATCATATCCACAAACATGTATGTTCACTTCATTTTCATATCATACAGTTTATATAAAATCCGAAATTTTCATTTTTTATTTTTAAGTTTCTTTGCACTAATTGAAATCTCAAGACCACTGCATATGCAACCTGTAAAGGTGAATATATTTTTTAAAAAAAAAAAAAATTAAGTAATTTATATAAAATATATTATATAATATATATATTTTAAATCAGTTTGAGTAAAAGTAATAAAAATAAAAGCTTATAGCTTGTAAGCACATAATTCTTCATTGAAATAATATTACAGGTTTAAAAGTTTTTCCCTTTTAAATAGTATAAAAATTGTCAATTCTCATTAGTTACTTGTATAGTGAGTGAGTGTGTGTGTGTGTATAATATATATATAATATGAACATATATATAATCTTATAGGCGATTGTCTGTTTCATGCTACATGACTGTAGTTTTAAGTGAACTTAGATATTGAAACTTTTATATTGTATGAATTCTATATCTGATATTGAGTACTTTATTCCATAAATATAGCACAACTTAAGACTATATTTCTTTATATATATATAAAATTACAAAGTGTAAAAATTTGTAAAAAAAAACAAAGCTCCCCACACACACACACTCGGGCTGGAATACATAGAAATAGTAGATTAAAAATCACGTTACTACAATTTCTTGGTAAACCATTTAAATTCTTTGAATGTCTTGTCTTTTAAAGGCAAGGAATCTTAGAAAACAACAGTAAAGTGGAAATATTTGCTATTTTTACTCCTGAACTCAGCCATAATGAAGAAACTATTTGAAAAGAACATCATGACTTTGGACTTGAATGAAATTCCTTAGAATCTTCTCAGGAATTTTACTGACTACTTGGTTGGGTAAGGCAAGGACTGTATTTGGATTATATTATTTACAGAATAATTTCAGATTTTGAATTCAACTTTTGATTCTTAAGAATAAATTTTGATCAAAACATTTTCTTGATTTTTAAAAAGGAAAAAAAAATCCACTTGCTCCAGCAAATGTTATCTGTAAATTGTGTCTGTAAATGTGTAGTGTATTTGTTTTCTTATTACCAATTGATAACATTTAACCTATTATTTTCTATAGTATAGGTATGAAGGTCAATTGTTTTGCATGGTAATTTGTTCACTTTTCTTTGATCTTTGTATTTAATCATATCCAATATGTCTTAAATTATCTTACATTTTACTTATTGAGCTTTCTCTCTAATATCTTCTGTACATACCACTTGATTACATAAGTCTTCTCTTCCATAATAATTAGCCTGTTTTGTTTTTTTTTTACCTTTTAAAGTTTGTTATATTTTAAAAGATCTAAGAAAATACATAATACTGTAGATGAAAGGTTTCTATTTTTTTTTTTTTTTTTTTAAATAACCGCTCTATAAAATTGTCTTGAATAAGCAAAATTTGCATGTTTGGAATTTCTGCATACTTCACAATTTTCATCAAATGCTTAATTTTGTTTCTTCCAAATTGACACTGCTGAATTCAGCATACTACTTGTGACTACCTACCTGCTTGTTCATAGACAAGTACTCTCAGAAAAACTATTGTTCGGCTCCCATTCTTGTGCTTAGAATGAGATCTTGTTTGTTATATAACCCCTCTCTCTCTCTATATATATATATATATATATATATATATATATATCTCTGTGTGTGTGTGTATATATATATATATATATATATACACACACCCTATTCACTTTTTATAAGGTTATAAATATAAACAAGTGGCATGACAATCCCACTGTTTATGTTCTATTGTGAGTATTCCTGTGTAAGTTTCAGAGATTCTGACTCTTTTCTCCACTTTCTAATAATAAAATTTTTATGACCTTATGAAAACATTTTATTAATTTGTGTTAATACTTTTTGCATTTCTAAAATGATCAAAGAAAAAAAGGCATTTTTAACTGATTTATTTTTTTCAATGTATGAATTGTCAATTTATTTAAGAATATATGAAAATAATCCAAATTCTTTCTGTAAGTCATTGTTTACTATTGCCAAATAAACTTTTTTGTAGCTAAAAAAAACTATCCTTTTTAAAGTTGAATAACAAACCAATACCAAGTTTAGAGCATCTAAAACAGATTTTGCAGTCAAATTTCTATTGTAAATCTCTTGATGAAACCATTAAAAATGACAAAAAGATCTTTTAGGTGTAAATAACCTGCCATGGAATTAAAACTGTTTATGCTTTTAACATTTTCCTGAAGAAAAGTTATTGAAAGAGCTTTGTTTTAAGCTCCTACTTATAGATTTAAAAGGACATTAAAATTATGTTACGAACTGTGTACAATTTTTTTTTTCCCATATTTCTTTCTCTGTGAATTTGATTTTTTTTTCTTCTCTTAAAATTCAAGAGACAGGCATATGTACATCTACCACATGGATAAAATGAAGTTGAATATTATCATTATGATCAATATGATAAAAGAAATCAATGTAAATAACAAATTTAAGACATAAATTTCTTTTTTATTAGGGTATCAATAAGGATTTACATTCATCCAACTTTATTACATGAAGGTGAAAATATTAAAAAAAATGTTTTGTGCTTCAATTTGTATAATTATCAAATAAAATGGCTTGTCTATCATTTGTTTTTAATGAAAAGTTTTTTCTAGATTAACAGCTCAGTACATTTCTGTATTTGATTAGAGAGAACATTTTATTCAGTCCTCTTTTAAAAAACTGCAATGCATTTTAACTTATTGCTCTCATTTCCTCTTTAAGTTATTGTTAAGAAATTTAAATTTAAAAAAAAAAAATCAAATAAGTGTGTCATAAATAAAGCCAAGTGTTTTCTGACAAATCCCGTTTTAGTCTGTTGGCAGAGCTGCTGCATATTATCAGAAATTGCACTAATAATATCTAAATACAAATGTTTCATTTATGTATATTACTATTTTAAAGGCTTTCTTTTGATCAAATAGCTTTTAGATGTTAAATGATCTTTGTCATTTGAAAAAATTTTAAAGACATAAAAAATTTTAAAAAATCTCAATCTTTCGTATTTCACTTTATTTTTGCTTTTGGATAATTGCCATTATGTCATTGAGACAAAATGGACCCTTTTTCTTTGTATAATAAAAAATATCCTGGAAAATGTTAAATGTAAGCCTTTATTTTTAATACAGTACAGGGTACCTTTTTCAGATCTCTTATCCCTGATGACTGCCAAAGTATACATTTTTTTTTTAAAACTTTAATCAAGAACATATTCATTTACAGCTTTTTTGCAAAAAGAAAAATATTCCAATGAAAACATTTTTATAAAATGCATTATTTATATAAAATTTAATTAAAAATGAGTCTTGACTATTCTAAAAAAAAAAAAAAAAAAATGGGGCATGTCCTTTATTTTATGTAATTAATAAATTAACTTTTCTGACTATGCTTGTGATTTTTAAATTTGCTAGGAGCTGATTTTTATTCCAAATATACTGACATGCATTCAGTA